GGGGCGAAAAATCCATCTGGCTAGGTTTCATTTTTAGAAAATATATACAAGAATTGCTCGTTTAAAGGTATAAGATTTACTTTGTATGCGTCATTTTATCTCGTTTACTTTTCTCAGTTTTATATACAGGTATATTAATCTGATTCTTATGTAATGTTTACATATCTTTCATATCTAAAAAAACCTTTCGAATATTAACATGAAATCCATTCTCAGATTCGGTGATGTAAAGTTATAATAAAAGGCTATATACTGTACAAATGATATTTAATCACTTTCTACAGGTTCTTGTCTGGATGAGCGCAATAAAGAATATTCATCCGGCTAAAATTTGTGAGTATTACTTCATCTAGAAAAGAAAAAGTTCAACTAGTAAAAAAAAGGAGACAAATAAATGTCATTTCCTTTTAACCATATGGTGCCGTTGACATACTAAGCTGTCAAAGCTTTGCTGTATCTACAAATTTACTTAAATTTTGCCACAAATGAGAATTTGGGAAATGCAATTGGAATGAAGCCAATAAGTACGAGTTCATCAGTGTCGACAAAATTTTTAATGCTGATGCCTAAGCCGATTTATTTTTTAACTCGATAATTGAGTTTACCATATCTGTTTGATTTTTCTGGCTCGATATTTGCAGCGATAACCTCATATATTGTAAAAATCTGATGCTTTTTTATGCTTTTTTGTCATTTTTTTTGATGTTTTGATCGCGAAGACAGCACAATTCTTTCTTTCTTTTTTTGTTATGTTTCAGTTAAAAAATAATTCATATAACCTTGTTATACAGCCATGGAGGTTCTAGTTTATCTTATTTATCTCTTATTTCTAAAAATATAAATGCGAATTTAAAACGCTTGTAAATAACAAATAAAAAGACAGAAAGTTGTTTAAGAAAGTTGTTTGAAAAATCGGTAGTCCTAAAAATGCGCTTCGTGTAATAAATAGATTGAAGAGGTTTTATCTTGTATCTTGATAAAACGTCAGTAACAGCACGGCACGGTGGGAAGGGATGAAATAATCTTCAACTGACCGAAAATGTTTTTTTTTCATTCATTAAAACTTAAATGAAAAATTCGGTGGGCTTAATAGACATTCTTTGTTGACTGTTAGGAACATTTTAAGTTACAGATTTTTCAAGTAAATCTCGGCATAAAGTTTAACTAATTAGTGGAGGTCGTGCTAAAGATTAAATATTTGCATTCAGAAATGAATAAGGTATTAATTTTCCTTCGTTTTGGTGAAATTGCGTATAATAAATATTGCAGAGCACAATTAACTAGCAAATTTTTCACTATGATTCACTAAGTTACAACCTGTATACAATAGAGGTCCTGGATACTCTTTCAAAGTTTCATCAGAAAGCAGGTTTTTAGTCATTAACAATAAAATTTTCACTGTTTTCATTACTTCTGCTGTTGAACGAATGGACAGACTCGTCTGGGGAAGTACCACGGCTTCGTAGTAGAAACTAGTCAGAAAACCTCCGTGAATTGAAAGTATTAATCGTCTGCTCACTTGCCAAGTTTTCACATAAATAAATTGTATGGCAATTTGGCCTGTAAGCATAAATTTACTCGAACGGGGTTTTGTACAATATCCAGTGCTGTATTTAGCACGTGAAATAATAATAGTCATCCGCAATTATAATTACGAGTAATAGGAATATGTTGTTGACCATAAAATGTCAATGTAATTCACACAATCCTCGAACAGAGTCAGTACCTGAATTCATCCCTGAGGGACATTTTGAAATCGAATAAAACTACATTTATCGTCACTTGCTAGTCTTTCACTACTTTATCAGTAAGAAGCCCACTAGGCCCACTTTTGGCAACGCATCGCCAACCGTGCGACGTACCAAATGTCTTCTATACATACATATATAGTACTATTTGTATTCAGACACAACTTCACTATTAATTTTAAATTTTAATCCCTTAAAAGTACTCATCAATAATCTCATTCTGAAGACTAGGAAGTCAACATTAAAACCTTCCTGGTATCATTCTGTAACTGTACGAAAAGACGAAAGACATATTAGAAACAAAAACCAGCCAAGTGCGAGTAGCACTCGCGAACGACACGTTCTGTACCATTATATATATAATAACAGCGTGAAAAATATCATGTTTGTTGTATGGGAACCCCACGTAAATATTTTTATATTCTATTTTTTAGTTCTTATAGCGGCAACAGAAATACATCATCTTTGAATATTTTAATTGTCTAACTATCACGGTTCATGAAATACAGCCTGGTGACGGACGGACAGACAGAAAAGTCTTAGCAATATGTCTTGTTTTACCCTTTGGGTACGGAACCCTAGAAAAGACAATCGTTACTTAATGTTCATCTATTAAACATATAAAATATAAGATACCTTCGTCTTGTTTTTACTAATTTATATTTACAGTATTTGTTTCTTTTATATTATTAACTCATAATTTTTGTTTTAATTAGATACAGTTTTATGTAACAGAAAAGCAGTTTTAGCAATTTAAAAACTTTTAATACGTCGGGTTAATAAAAATATTTAATAATGGATAATAGTATATTTAGAAGAATTGTCGATGCTAAGTTTTTGCACATGCAATAATAAACGATGTGAATAATTTACAGCAACCGTTTTATTTGTTGACCTACATTTTAAATATATCTTAGGTCGCTACGTTGCTTATGTGTATTGAGGGTCGCGGATTAGGAGCTTACAAAGGATTACCTTGACTAGTCCTCGTGTCGACCGTTTCATTAAAAGTTGCAAAACCGTCTGGGCGGACTCTAATTGCGTTTATCGTGACCGTATTCTGGATCCAATAACGTCGTAATGTATAGTATAAAAAAACGTATGATGATGAAGAGTGCAGGTGAACATTTGTGCCCGATTAAACACATAGAACTGTGATAGAGCCATGCAGCCACCTTTGGGGATGAACTACGGTCACAAAAAATATCGGTGTCATGTGTAAATATCAATTTACACTTTTGTGTTTCGTCTGGTGAGCGATGTAACCGGGACACACTTTGTTAAGTTTGGCAAAACATCTGAAACGCCTCAGGTGTGGTAGATGTCTATCTTCGCGGTAAACTAAGTGTTACCATGTGAACCACCTTGTATACCAAAAATGTCTATGGTACGTTGACGGCTACTTCTATTTACTGCGGTACAATTTTAATAAGTTAAAAGGTTGGGTGATGGTGCTGCCTTCAATTAATTTTTATTAATAGCAAATCAATTATATTTTAATACAAAACTCAGTTCTCCACTAGAAATCACCATATTGATAATAATAAATGCTCTAGCAGATTCCAAGATATTTTAGAAAGATACTTTAGAATTTTTAGTTATTTAAAAGATCTTAATAAGGGCTCTACTATAAAATTAGCTATTCTATTTTATTCTATCCTAAAAGCGACTATTAAATCAACGTTGATAAACGAACTTTGTGTAGACGATATTGGACGAGAAGTGTTTAGTATTATATATTATAGTATACAGGGTACAGTATTTCTGAAAAAAAAAAAAAAAAAAACTGGTAATGATGTTAAAAACAAATTACGAAACGGTGGCTGAAAGGCGTCAAATCTTGCGGCGAGACGGTTTGTGAGAACTCTGGAAAACAGCTTGTAGATGTGGCTTAGGAGCGCGATTGGTTTATAATTAATAACAAAGCCACCACGCTCTCACTCCACACCTTCGGGATAGTCCCATTAGCTATGACGGAATTAAATAACTCATTTAGCTTTCTAAGCAGTGGGGTTCCGCCTGCTTTGAGAAGCTCGGAAGTGATTCCATCTTCACCGGGGTCCTACCCAGTTTTAAGTTGTTTGAGAGCCCTCACAAATTTCGGCTTCGTCGACGTCTGGGAGATCGACTGACATCTATAGGTATCATTTAAAGAATTAGTTTATTTTTAGAGATGAACCTATTAAAATCTATGACGATATATATTTTGTATTAGAATTAAATAGCGTAGAAAAGTATGATTGGTTATCTAGTAAGATCCGATCCGTTATGTAGTAAGATTTTTTAGCAACAATCTATCCTAACCGGAACAAAAATTACTGCCGAAATAGCCACGAAAAGCCGGAGAAAAGTTACGTACATATATAACTACTTTGGAAACTTAATATGGAAACGATCTGGAATATAACTTTAAATGAACAAATCAAATATTAGGTTCTTACATATCAAATTGGCGTTTTGTCCAACTGGCCACTTTAACGTAGAAAGTTTTTGTGTTCAATGTTTTTGTTCTAGAAGTTTTGACATATAGAACAAATAATTTCTTGTATTTACGCGATTACACATTATAAATGAAACAAATTTTACGGATTTATCTACTACCATCAGCTTGGGATCCCATCATCAATAAAATTAAATCTAAGCCCAAAAGAACCACTACTGCAAGACAAGATACAATTAGCTCCCTCTGCATAGATCGGACACAAAATCAATAATACAAAAACTGGCGGTAGCCCGGGATAACTTTGACAATCAGACGTCTAACACCTCAGTCTGTCCCGTGACCATGAACGCTGTAAAGGGTTCGAAACGGCGGGAACTTAAATTAAAAATAAACGCGATAAATCCGTAAAATTAGTTTCATCTATAGAACAAACTCTATGGACGACCCTTGGATGATCCCTATTCCTTGTTAAAAAGGAAGGAATAACATAATAATTAAAGATGACCGTGGAAGCAGAATCATTGTAAACCACGCCAGAGAGAAAAAATATTTTTTTGCACTTGAAACAAATTTGAAAAGTGAAAAAGCTCGAGAAATGGGATTTCGCATGAATTGAGTTACACACCATTTTCATTGAGTTGCACATTAACAAACACCCATTAAGTGCTGTGTTACATTACTCACCCGTCACATAAAACGAGGGAATTATAATGGTATTGTTACTTTTGATGAAAAATTTATATCGTACGATAATCGGAAATGCTCATAGTGGTTGAAACCAGCCGGCAAAATCCTGTCCCAAGCGAAAGATGACTCAGAAAAAGTGGTGGGTACAATGGGCGGCCTTACTAAAAGTAATTTCTTCCAGGCAACTGGTGATTGTTAGGTGGATGCTGGTATCATAAACTATAGCTTCGTAGATCTGGCCAGATGATTCCGGCATGTATTGTCAACAATGCAAACCATGATGGAAAATCTCGCTATTAAACAACCTAGACAGGCTACTTTAGCCTGCTTCAGGTCAACACAAGACCTACTTCTAGACATACTTCTCGATAGACGATCGCTAAATTAAAGGAGCTGTGATAAGACTATCTCCGAAACCCACGATACTCCTCAGATCTTGCTCCGAAAGATTATTACTTTTTACGTAATGGTGGGACAGTCCAAACTGCCCTCAATGATTTTATTAATTCTCGCTCCCACAACTTATTGTAAGGACCTGGAGTATGTCAAAATCTTTTAATTTTCTGTTCATTTGTTTCAGATTACTCGAATCAGAGGCACGTCGACAATCCAAGGGGAAACGCGAATATTAGTAATTTTAATACACCAATTAATGAAACGAGCAAACGAGAAAGCGCCTTCAATCTACAATCAATTATATTAGATAGCTTTAGATATTTAAGGTTATATTAGTGAACACAAGTGCCAAGACTGCGGGGCGCGTTACGTGACGCGTCCGTCGGATACACGTCCGCTTATAGTTCTGTCGCGCACGGTTGTGACGCGCTAGTGGCGTTTGATGCGCGCAGCGTGTTGCGCGCGCGTCGTTCGCTAGGGGGCGTTGATCGGCCAACAAGATTGGAGTGGTGGCCGGGTGCCTGCGCGTCGGCCGCTAGGGGGCGTTTGGCGACGGCCGACAAGATTGAGGTGGTGGCCGGGCGCGGGTGGGGAAGGCGCGCGCGCGTGCGGCCCCTGCACGCGCTGGGCCGCGCGGCCGGCATGCTGGCCTCGCAGCGCTCGCAGTCGTGCAACGAGGAGGGCGCGTTCTTCGGCGCGCGCGCACTCCGCCGGCCGCGCGGTAAGGGCAGCGGCAGCCCGCCCTGCTAGGGGTACGCCATGTCGCTGCGCAGCCTGCACCGGAGGCTCTCCTCCGCCAACAACACGTAAGTCACGCTTTTACAGACTTTTTTTAAATTCTAGAATTATTTTTTATATATTTTTTTTAATTATTTTCTGAAAGAAGACGGAATATGAACACGCGGTTCACCTAATGATCAGTGTATTTACCGCTCATACAAACTAACAATAGTGTTTATTGTTTTCTAAAATCCGTAAAGTAGTTTCATTTAATAGTGTTTATGTTGTTGCCGTGACAACCTTGGTCAGCCTTTAGTCAGGTGGTAGGGCCACACAACAGTGTTCGCTGTTGCACGAAGGGGCAGGTCCGTCCGGGTTAGTACCACGACCTCACAGAAGACCGGCGTAAAGTAGAAGTGTTGCACTTCTGCGTTTCGTCTGGTGAGTGCGGTAGCTTGGGCCCACATTATTAAGAAGTGGCAACGCATCTGCAATCCTACGAGTGTTTCAAATGTCCATGGGCACGCGGTTATCACTTAACATTAGGTGAACTGCTAGCTCGTTTGCCAATTCCTCACATAAAAAAAAAGAAAAAAAGTCCTCCTCAAGTCACCTCACGCACCAGGTGAAAATCTTTTCACCTGGTGAGTGAGGTGACTTTTTTGTGTGGAAAAAATCGGTTCACTCAGTCGAAAGTTCCGAGGTAAGAAATATTAAAAAAAATACAGTAGAATTGAGAACCTCCTCCTTTTTTGAAGTCGGTTAAAAAGAACATTTTCTGTCATTTACTGGCGCCTACGTCCTATCTTTTGAAGAATCAAGAAGAAGAAACAGAGAATATATTCGTTTTTATTTCGTTTGTTTCTGAATTCAAATTGACCAAGTTTTTCTATTCACCTTATGAACAAAGTTTCTTTGAGGTACCTATATATTATAATTTTGCAATTTCTAAGTTTTTATGAAAATAACACAACACCAATGAATTTTGGACTACTAATTTGTATGTATATATTTTTTTACGGTTACCGCGTAAACGTACATAGCTTGTAACCTTGATTTGTTTGTGTTAAAGTATAATTCCGAATAAATAAGTAAAGGCCCGAAGGTCCTTTAGACAACGATAAGGGTTGCACCGCAAAGTAGATTTAAGACCGCGTGAAATGTATTTCCGGGGCGCTTTGAGTTTGTGCGATTCTGGTATGTTTTGAACGATTTTATTGTTAATGGATTTCATTCAATTTTTTACACACACAACAAAACTCGTCGTTTTTGTATATTTAATAAGCCATTGTTCTTTAACCTCAAGGGGATGAACAGACGGTTACTAAATAAGCTCTGTTGAAGCTAGTGTTGAAGATATATTATTTAAAACAAGTTCACTGTACAAATTATATTATATAACCCTAATAATGTAACAAAAAATTTAATGATACAATAACAATTTACTTCTATGATGCAATATTATTTCTTTCTTATTCAATGTTAAGTCGAGGCAATCATCATGATCATCATTATCATTTTAGCTTGTTCGAGTCCACTGCTGAGCACAGGCCTCCACAAAACACATTCCTGAGTCACCTGCATCCATCGGCTTCCCGCACATTTGCACTCGTCGTCACTGCAGAGGCAATCATCTGCATTTAAAAATGTGATTTGCTATATTATAACTATAATATTGTAGTTTTTATGTGTAACGACAAAAATGGAATTAATTTTCTTTTTCTTAATATATCAAAAACATATTGTTTCTAATGCGCATCTTCTGTGCCAATGGATTTTCCTTGAAAATGGGACTACTGGTGCTTAGTTAGCTATAGATAACAGTATAGCGACGGTAAAGATTTTTTTTTTAAAAGTTGTATTACTTTTTAGCATTTTTTCTATCGTTCTTATCTCTGAATGATGAATTATCGTTGTAAAACGATATTCAAAATTGTTTGTATGCTGGAAAGGATATAACAATGATGCTAAAAACAATGAAGATAAAATAAGATTTTCGTTGGTGTGGCAATCGGCCGTTTAGTTTAGTGGCTAAAGCGTCAGGCCGCGAATGCCGAAGACATGGGTTCGATTCCCACAGCGGCGACAATCTTTTCGTACTTTTTCTACAAACTTTATCGTTGTATTACTGTAAAGGAAATCTGCTATAATGGAAAGAGACACATACCAACGCGGAGAACTTGCTTTCGGACGTAACCATTATAGGTAGGTTAAAGCGAATCAGTTTAAATGAGCACGTTATTGCCAGCATTACTGCTGACCTCGTTTCCCGCAAGCATCCAAGTTGCAAGTTTACTGTAACTCGATATCGTTCAGGTTATTATTGTATAGATACGGACATGACATTGTTCCGGATATGGTGCATCATACGAATGATCTGGTTTTAGCCGAGTTAGTTTCATTATCGCCTTTGTGATCTAGTTTTAAGTTAGATCAATTTAAACGTCATCTCTACATGTTTTCAATAATCCAATATATTACTTTAATAAATGCGCTGGATACCAATATCAGAGTATTGCTAGCACGATGTGTGACTTGGCATATAGTTCGGCCTGGAGAAGAATTGTGGAAATCTAAAAATTCATATTCAACATATGTGACAAATACTCATCTTCCCGCCCATATCGTACTTATGTGGATACTACATAACTGATAAACCTTAGTCATATTTTTCTCTTGTAAATGAATAAGTACATTTTTCTTTCTCCTGCTCTTATCCCACCTTTATGCGGTCATGCTCATAGGAAAGACACTAAACGATAAATTTACTAAAGGCTTATACATTTAGGCTTATAAAGTTGAAATACTGTTTATCCGGTCCAAATTTTTAAGCCTACAATCATTATTGAGTTTAATTGAAACAGATATCTTTATAGAAATATTGTATCTAGTTAAAAGGAAAATTAAATACTTTTTAAATCTATCTTCTTTTACGTTTTCTGATTGCCAACTTTGTTCATAACGAAACTAAAACTTGAATCTAACACGAGCTTTCATAGTAAGGTAATAAACTATATATAGCTTAAAGGCAGAATGGGATTCATAACGCCAGGCATTTTGTGTAAAGCGTAAATTCCGTTTAAGCATGGTAAAACGGGCGTTGCATGCAATCATGTACATTTATGCTTACAAGTTAAAATAAAAGCAGATTTAAGGATTACCTCGCGTCGAGCTTGCTTTGCTTACATATTAAAACGCCGGCTAATGCCATTTGGAAGTAATCTCTAAGTGTACGTTTTATTTCAAAACAATACACGGTGTGTAAAAGTCAGCACTTTTTATGTAAGCACGTTATTTATCGTCATTGTTATAGGGTATTGAATAATACTTTTTGTTATCGGCGGGGTGATTTTTATTACTATATTGCTGGCTTGAGAAGGTGGCAAGCGAGCTGGCGGTTCACCTGATGTTAAGTGATAACCGCCGTCCATGGACATTTGCAACAGCCTTAGGGTTGCAAATGCGACCTTTAAATAAAGTGGGCCCCTAGTCCAGGCTTTATTAGGTCTAACAAATAATAAACGTAGATGTAGCCATTGGTGTTTAAATGCAGTAGCTTTATAAAAAGAATATTAATTGTGAGTCTATTGCTCATGAACTTTAGAAATTGAATTCATAAAGTAATGAAGTAATAAGATAATGAGAACCGATTTTATACAAATTCCACGTCTTCGAAATGTTGTATTTTACTAAAACTTTATTTGCGTTTACCTAAGCTGAATAAGATGATGCACTTTTGTCACCAGCGTTTACTAACAAAACCCATTATGTCCATTGTAACTATTTAGCATAAAACTACTTAGCTACCACTATTTAGCATAAAATATATTTGGACACGAATTTATTCTTTACTCCTCCCTTGTACGCTCCACAATAGCGTAAGCGGTACTAGATTTTGTACATTTGAAACTACTTACGGGTATCGAGGTCAAACATAATGCTACCAGGATCAGTATCTGAACTGATACGATTGTTAGTCCAAATGTTTATTTTCAAAATTTAATATCCTACATAAGTTAAATAGAGACAATGGTCCGCCCGGCATAATAATTAATTTATACCTGTTAGTGCCGCAAGTTGTCTGTTCAATTTCCTCACGGAATATGTAATCATGATTTAACACTTTCAAATAATTGTGTCCGAAGTCTGATTCGGCATCTTTTAGTGCCTTATTCAAAAATTATCTAACTAACGCAGGATCACGTTATCCTACACTACCGCTAACGTCTAAATATCTCTTTTTACATAAATAAAATAACAAAAAACATTAACTGATATTTAACATGTACCAAATGATATATCACTAAAGCAAACATTTTTGAAATAAATGTTATTAAAAGTAAGCTACCTTTTAACATGATTTATAAACGGTAAATATTAACATTGTTAATTTGCAGCCTTACATTGTTTCGCAAGGTAAGGTTTTTCTTGCAAAATTTGTAACGGAAAGCACATTACCTTCAGCACATTTTCATAAAGTTAATGGCCCTGTTTGAACACAAGAAATACCACTCTGAATCACATTTATATTACATATGTAATGTAATCAAATAAAACAAGACAAATAATTTAAGCATAACGGTACCCACTTTCGTTCGTTTTTGGGGATTTTTTATTATTTTCTCATCAGAAATTAATGTGATGCCGCAGTAAAGCAGCAACATAACATTGGTGTAAAAGTTTTTACACGCTCACACGGTTGTCATCAAAAGATATTTTAAGGGATCACGATTCAATGAGGACGTGTTTCGAATATTATTTGCCCATGTTTATTTTGTATAGATTTAGTATAATAAGGGTTTTAATAGACATGTTAACTCAATCGGCGTCAAAATCTTCCATGCTAGGTTTTTAATAAATAGATGAATATTCAGGGTTAACACAACATTATTTAGAGCCAAACTAAGCAAAGCTTGTATTATTTATGTTTTTCGCAAAAACACTTGTCTCGTGTGGGAATCGAACGCACAAACGCCGGTTCCGAAGTCAAAAACTTTGTAACTGCGCCAATGAGTCATCGAATGAAT